AGACAACAGAAATACTGACCTTTCATCTTGCCATGTTGAAAAATGGCCCCGGTCCTCTTTAATGCACTCTCTCTTTGCAGGATTTCCTTGGCCAGGCTTTTTGTACATTGGGAGAGGTGGTGGGTTCGTTGGGCGGTCGTATGGAGAAACCTCTTGGGTAAGAACTGCTCTATTTGGTTTGTTTCCTCCATTCATAAAGCTACATTCTTCCAGTCTGTGATAGATCATTGGTTCTCAACTCCGGACCCACTCTGCACATTTTGTATGTCTTCCTTATTTAACACACCTGATTCAGATAATCAGCTTGTTAGGGAGAGGGCTCTATGAACTGAACAGAATGTGTCAGATAGAGAGACATACAAAATGTGCAGAGCTGTGAGACCCCAGGACCAGAGTTGAGAATCACTGTATGACCCAACAACATTGTCAGAGGTCTGCCCATCTAGTAACTGCACTTTACATGTTATTCAAACATTGGGCCTGTCCGTATACCCACACCTGCAGTCTTGGCCACTCTAGAGCATGTGCACGCAACAGGAAGTAAGTGCCCAATACTGTCCCGGGTCTTAAAAACTCCAAAGTGCAGTGCCCTTAATGCACACTAAATCCACACGATCTAAGCTAAGCATATCCCATCATGCATCATGTTCTGGATATAAATCATGAGACTTTTTGGCATGATCTCACTAGATGTCACGGAAACCTTTCCAGTGTAAGTTAAATATGAATAATAAACTTAGATATTACATACAATTTGGTAGTAAAAAAGGTGCACGCAACAGGAAGTAAGTGCCCAATACTGTCCCGGGTCTTAAAAACTCCAAAGTGCAGTGCCCTTAATGCACACTAAATCCACACGATCTAAGCTAAGCATATCCCATCATGCATCATGTTCTGGATATAAATCATGAGACTTTTTGGCATGATCTCACTAGATGTCACGGAAACCTTTCCAGTGTAAGTTAAATATGAATAATAACTTAGATATTACATACAATTTGGTAGTAAAACACACAGTGTTGCACATTTTATTGATGCAAACATTTGCAACTGCTTTTTATCACTTAATCAGAAGCACCACAATTACTAAATTGTGTCATCTGTTAGAGACTCCTGAACAGTCATTCAGAAGTTTATTTTAAAATGCGAAGTATTGAAAAACTAATAAAGCTCTGTAAACACTAGCAATTTTACAACACTATAAGTGTGTCCCATCGGGTAACAAAAAGCTCTACACACACTTGTGGTCTTCACACCCACTTGAACACATGGGCCAAAAACAGGAAATACGTCATGTATATAGACAAGTGGTCAAGTGCAAATACCTCAAGTGTGGGTATTTGGACAAGCCCATTCTCTTTTGTTCTTCCTTCATGGCTAAAAAGGCTGCAAAGTGCAAAATAGACCTGATTTTATGTCTGGACACACAAGACTACACTCTAACTGATAAACTGACTTTTTTCTGTTGTCTTCTTGCATTATCAGCTCACGTTTTTCCTGTTTAACACTGTAAAGCTGCTTTGACACAATCTGTATTTTAAGTGTCATTTACAATACAGTACATTGTAAATTACACTTACAATACATTTTCACTTGCATGAAAGCGCTATACAAATAAAGGTGACTTGACTTGACTTGACTACTTTACAGTCTTGTTAGCCTTGTTACCTTATTTATTCAAATACTTGCATATGTCACAGTCTTGCATGAAGGGAAATGACATACAAGTAGGTATGTGCCTCGAAACTAAATTGAAGACAAACAGACTTAAAGTTACCAAATTTGGTGTCATTCATTGAGCATTTTGTTTTGAGCATGTGTTGTTCAAGATATCAAAATAGTTTTTCTTTTCATACTGGTGTTTTGTTCTTTTTGTTTTATCTTGTTTTTGGTTTAGTTTTTCTCCTGGATTAATAACAATATGATTTTAGAAACTACCATTTTTAGCTAATCTGGAGCCATTTTGACATTTTGTGCAGTTTAAGCTTAAAATTCATCGCTTCAAAACAATGACAATGTGCTGTTTACATTAAAATATAGTTCAAATATTGCTATGCTTTGTACATTGCAAGAAAACACATAACAAAAGTCCCTTTGCAGAATGTATATGATGAAAGGAATGCTGGGAAATCATCAGGGGATTATAGCTGAACAATCTGTGACATTGTAAGAAGTTTGTGTGTTTAGTTGAGGGTATAGAGTTCACATTGACTAATGAGCTGCTTCTATTGCTGCTCTTTAGTCTGACTCCGCTCATTAAAGTCTTTATTTCACCTCATCTGCACAAACAAACCTTTGAGCTTCCTGTATCCTTCCCATCGAGGTCGAATTGTCACTCAGCACATGCTTTTTCTTCCTGTAAGAAAGTCCATTTAGGTTCTGATCTGAGTCTATGTTATTGTACCTCAGCGCTTTCTCATGAAGGGAGGTAAAGGCCTGCCTCACAAACATTTCTCTATGCCGCGGTTATCAAACCAGGCTCATTAGATTGCCAGTGGGAGTTCAGTGTCTCACTGCGTCTGGGGGTCCCTGCACTGTTGCTCCATTAGCTAAGCAGAGCCGAATGCCAGCACGCTCAGTACATCCAGCTAAAGACAGACCACTGCTGCTGTTCAAGAAAATGAAGAACAAGGTGATTTGGGGTTTGTACATCCCTGCTGTTTGGAGTATTTGTAGCTCTGGTTGTATTTGCAACTAATAATATACGCTGGCCACCTGTTGAAACCAGAAACCAAAGAGGAAAATACCTAGTAAATGGAAAAACGGTCTATTTAGAGAACTTTATGTAAAACATTAGTGCACACATTACTGTAGACATCTCATGCACTGCTGTAGCAGCAAAAAGAACAAAAAAGTAGTATGAATATAAAACAGCAATAACAATAACCTTATATTTTAAAATATTTTAATTAATATTAATTAATATCCACGCAGCCATACAAAGGACAAGCAGTTTGGAGAATGGATGGATGGATTAATATTATACATTTTATTTTAATTAACAGTATTAATGCATTAATTGTATTATTAAATGATTAACTTTATTATTAATTACACTAACAATATTGATATTCATTATTAGTAACATTATTATTTTACTTAAACAATCATTTCACAGATTTGTGTCAAGATGTAAATTAGATGTTAAATGATATTGTTCGCTGAGTTAAGGTGCGGTCATATTTACCATTGTTTGGTGAATTTTTGCCAGTATAATCCATTAATTTCAATAGTACGGAGCCCGGGAAGTCACCTGTAGGAGAAAAAAAAACAATCTTAATCCGTGAGCACGATTTGTTAAACCAAGGGAACATGTGAAGAATTCGTGAGTACGGTTTATAAACTGAGGGGACGGATTGCAAAACCGTCGCCACGGATTGTTTTTTTTTCTCCTACAGGTGACTTCCCGGGCTCCGTACAATAGGAATACATGTGAGTGGGAATTTTGTGTGAGGGCAAAAGATTTCCCCTTTCAGATTGTGCTTGTGTTCAAGTTGTTTATGCACGTTGACCTACAAAAAGCTGTTTGGTTTGAAAGTGCTTCATACATGGCTACACTATTGACAATAGACAATGGATATTTTTTGTATTAAATTTCACATGCTAATGTGACTTTACAGTTAGGGGATTGTTCAATTAAGAATCCTACATGCACAGTAGTAACAATGATACTTACTTCAGCAAACTTGGCTTACAGTTGGATAACTGTACTATAATGACAAGGGTTTCAAAAGCTGTTTTGGAGGCATTAAATCATGGCGAAACCCCACACCTGCGCCTGAGGCCTGATGGGGGACCTTTAACAACCCTAATGACTGTTAATTACAGCTAATTACACAGTTCAATCACCCCGCCAATCGTATTTGGGAGACGCTGCATGAAGGGAAAAAATTTTGCTATTTCGAGCGCGGTTAGTGAAGTGCTTGGGTTTGTGTCTTGTGAGATGCGCTATTTTGTTCTTAATGTCTTTTTGAATAGTCTGTTGAATGACTTCAGAGTTATTCTGTACGTCAATCTAAAAGAGTATAATGTGTTTACTTATGCGTGTGTGAGAGGCAACTGTTTGCTAAGAGCAATGCATGCATGTCTGAGTGCAATCTGACATGATATAAGTTAACAATTAAACTAATTGTTAAGTAAGGGATAATGTACATTCACTCGGTTGTTATTGCAGAATAAATCCTGACAGGGTGATCAGGACCCCAACGCAAAGCATCTCAGAATGAGAAAACTATAGACGGATCAGTTGGAATGAATGAAGCTGAAAATGACTTCTGTGTCATTAATGACAACTGAAGTTATGGGAACTCTCCACTGAATTCAAGTGCTCTTTTCACAGCATCCGTGCTGAAGTGCGCTTATTAAAGCCCAATGGACCACACCACCGAGCAACTCACTGTGAACGCTTTCCACTAGAAGGGCAATATTTGTTGGGTGGCTTGCCATGCAAATTTTGATATCAATACAAATGTTGTTGAAAGCAATTAAGCACATGACATATTACAGCATGTCATAATATTTAGACTCACTTGGCTTCATTTTCTGCAGCGTTACACCTGGCATTGTAATTATTTTGGATACTCTTTCAGGCACTAAGTATTTATTTATCTATTTATATATATTCAGTATACTGAACAAAAGGCTTTGACTTTAAATAATGCTGATAATAATATTGCTTTTAATTATGCTGATGACACTCAACTCTACCTCTCATTCCATCCTGATGATCCGACGATAGCTGCTCGCATCTCAGCTTGTCTAACAGACATTTCTTGCTGGATGAAGGTCCATTATCTTCAACTCAACCTTGCCAAGAAGGAACTGCTTGTGGTTCGCATTAATGTTTGCCTACAAAACCACCACTGGCTCTGCACCCCTTTACCTAAATTCATTACTTCAGACTTATGTACCCTCTAGAATATTGCCTTCAGCAAGTGAATGTCGCTTTATTGTGCCATCCCAAAGAGGCACGAAATCACTTTCACATACTATTAAATTAAATGTTCCCTCCTGGTGGAATGACCTGCCCAATTCAATCCAAGCAGCTGAGTCCTTAGCCATCTTCAAGAATTGACTAAAAACACATCTCTTCCATCTTTATTTGACCCTCTAACTTTAGCACTCTCTATTCTAATTATATTCTTTAAAAAAAAAAAC